GAGGGCAGGGCTGGCAGAGCCCGGGCAGATCAGCATGTCACCGAGTAGGCAAGTGGGCTGCATGGTGAGCAAGGCCTTCAGACTTGGCCCCCCTCTCCCTGTCTCCACCGCAGCCCTGCCCACCTTGGGAGGATTGAGGCCCAGCAAAGTGGGAGGATTGATACGCCCGAGACCATAATCTGTCAACTATCCCTGATTCATCAGTGTCTCATTCTGCTGATGGGGAACCTCAAACAGAACAGCCACCCCAGACTCTTCAGTGCCAGGGCTGGTGGTTAGAGCATGGCCCTTGCACTGAAGGGTCTTGGGTTCAATTCCCGGTCAAGGGCACGTACCTGGGTTGCAGTTCACTCCCTGCTCCCAGTCAGGGCACCTGCGGGAGGCAACATGTGGATGATTCTCTCCCTCTGTCTCTCTGAAAAGCAATGGGAAAAATGCTCTCAGGTGAGGATGACACCAACAAAACAGCCTTGCCCACGGCTTCCAGCGGTTCTCAACCTTCCTAATGCCGCGACCCTTTCATACAGTTCCTCATGTTGTGGTGACCCCCAACCATAAAATTGTTTTCGTTGCTACTTCATAACTGTAATGTTGCTGCTGTTATGAATCGTCATGTAAATATCTGATATGCAGGATGTATTTTCAGGGGTCGCGACCCACAGGTTGAGAACCGCTGATTGCAAACCAAAGCACGGGTCTCCTGGCTCTAAACAAAATAACCCCACACGCAGGGCGGGCGGTGGGCTTCCCAGACCCCTCCCTGCCTGCTGGCCTCCACCCCGAGGAGCGACCATGCAGGCTGCCCAGAGGGACAAAGGGAGGAACGTCCCAGCTGGCTGCGGGGCAGCTGTGAGGACGCACTAGGGGTGCGAAGGGCTCAGCAGCCAGGTCCGGAGACAGCTGCCCGGGCTGTGCCCTCTCCCTGCCCAGGCGGGAGCTGCAGGCTCTCCTGGGAACCTCGAGGCCCCTGCAGGGCTCGCGGCAGAGGCGTGTTGAGGCTCAATTGTGACCCGGCGGTGGAGGGGCTGGTAGCGGCGGAGGGAGACGGGTGCAGAATAGCAATGAGCCCGGCCGCTGGAAGCCAGCCAGTGCCAGGTTGGCAAGGCAGAGCACCCTGCTCTCGGCTGGGTCAGGGGGGCATCCCTGGGAAGACACATCTCACGCGCATGCACGGGTGCACACACATGCACACACACAAGCGCCCCCACGTGCACATGTGTGAAGACTCCTCATGGCTTTATTGGAAGCTCCCAGGGAAGCGACCTGGAACCCCGCAAATGCCTGCGTCTGAACAGGCTGAGGCGAGCGTGTGGCCACTTGGCTGCTCAGCCACCCGGTCCCAGCGGACCCTCAGGGAGTGGCTCCCACTTCCCAGACAGCCTCGCGGAGGCCAAACAGGCTGATCTGGCCAGGCAGCCGGCCCCCTGGCCTTGGTTTTCGAGAGCTGAGGGCTCGGCCCGGGGCTGGGCTTGTCGCTCGTCCAGGCTCCTCATGGGAAGCGACCTGGCAGACTGGAGACTTGGGGAGACCCTTCCATCCGCTCCTCTAACTGCCTCTGCTCCCCCCCAACAGCACGGGGCCACGGGTGCCAGCGGGAATCCTTCCCTGGGACTTCAGGCGACAGACGCCCGAGCAGAGGCCGAGACGGCCGAAGCCATGGTCCTGCGTGTGGAGGCCATGCCGGCGGGGAAGATCAAGGTCGGCCCCAGGAGATACAGACAGGCAGAGCTGAGGGGCGCAGTCCCTGCAGTTCTGCATCAACCCGGAACCTATAGGCACATCCCAGCCACTGGGGCGCGTACATTCCCCCTTTTGGCTTAAACTGGCCGGTGACATCTCCTTCCCCACCACGTCCTGCCTTCACAGACCGTCTCACGCCCGAGATGCAACACGTGTCCGTGTGGTATTTTATTCTTCCCCTCGCGAGGGTGAACTCCCGGGGGTGAGACTCTGTCCGTGGCTCCCACGCTGCCTCCTGCCCCCAGCGCGGGGTCTCAGGCCAGGGGGGTGCTCGGTAGCCAAGGGGAGGAGTCCGTGTCTCCGCAGCTCGGTGACTAGACAGACACCACCCGCCTTTGCATCCGCCATCATTTCACTGGGCAGAGTGCACGACGAGGCGGGTCTGAACCACAGCCTCCGTGAGACCCAGAATTCCTCGGGGGAGCCAGGCGCCCCTCAGAAGGGTGGGCCCCCTCCGTGAAGCCCAGGGCTGGAGCCGAGGTCCAGGAAGCCACGTGATGCTGCTCTGGAGAGCGGGCCCTGGGGAGTGAGCCCCACAGGTGGACAAAGCCTGGTTTTCTGTGTGGAAAACCCGGAGGTAGATCTGGGGCTGGATTGATTTTCCCTCGAGCAACTCCCAGCACTTCTCTCCCTGACGGCTCAGGTTGCTGGGACGGCAAATGGGTGCTGGGCACGAGCCCTGTGCCAGGCGCCCCTCAGCCCTTCACATGCATCATGGGCCGGAGCCCGCAGATGACTCCCAGGTGGGCACTATCGTCCCACTACACAGAGGAGGAAACTGAGGCAGGAAAGCTGGAGGCCGTGTGCAAGGTCGCCAGGCAGGAAGCAGCGCACAACTCAGGACTGGGAGCCTGTCCCTGCCTCCCAGCACCTCCTCACTCCCCCACACCCCGGGGGAGAGAGGGCGAGCTGCTGCGGAGCCCATGAGCCCTCGAAATCTGGGAGGTTTCAGGATAGGAGCGGGGTGGGGGGGGCGGGGAGGGGATATGCCACAGTCAGGGCCCCCCTCGAGGCTGCCCACGGGGCCCCTCAGGGTTGAGGGTGCTCCGCTGCTGGAGTCATTGTCAAAAGGCAGTCTCCAGCGTCCCGCCCTCTCCCCTCCCCAACATTCTCGCTGCCAAATGAAATCTGGCAGCTTCTGAAAATAGCTCAGCGCTGCAGCAGGCACTGTGCCTGCCCTTCAGCAGGCTGGCACACAGCTGGGGGCGGCCGCTGTGGGCAGACGCTGGCGCACACGGGGCCGGGGGTGGGTGTCACACACACACTGCACAGCTG